GGTTTAGTCCCAGCCTGCTAGGGCCCTCTTTTAAATCTCTCCCCAGTTACTTCCATCCCTGGCAAGTTACGGTAGGCGGACCAGGGCACTAAGCAGCTGTACCTGCCGCCTGGCTCGTCACCCACTCTGGCTGGCCTTGTACTCGAGCAGGTACGGACGGTATGGTACGGCACAGAAGGTTAGTACCTTATTTAGTTAGATACGTCTCTGCTGACTTGACTGACGCTCCTCGCTTTTTACGCCTGGCTCCGCTGACTATACCTTATTCTCTCCCCTTCCACTTCCCTCACCTCACCTCACCTCACCTCAGTCAACCTCCACTCAACCTACTCCGTACCTACCCAACCTAACCTCTCTCCCTCCCTCGTCAGACGTGGAAAGAGCTCACAATTACCACCATCTCTCCTTCTTTCCCCTTCCCCTACCCTTACCCCCTTCCCCCCATCGTCACAGCCCTTTCTTGACCTCAGCTTCTTCGATACCCATACAGTTTTCGCTTTCTCTTGATAAATCTCGTATCATCTTTGTATTCTCTTCTCTTTGGTTCTTCTCCACCCCCGGCGTCATCTTCCGTTCAGCCTCCTCCACCTTGGCCGACCGTCGCCGCCCGCCCACGATTCGGACGACGACGACGATACCAACGACGCAACTTTCTCGATCCTCATCATGAATAAGTTGGCAAATATGCGTCACTGGTCGGAAAGAATGGCTCCCAATTTCGTAATGGGCCGTCCTAATATGCCCATGAATGCCCTCAACCATCCCAAGAACGCCGCTCAACCCGGTCAGCCCATGGCATCCCCTCAAGCCGCCGATGCCACCATTCTCTACTCTTTCAACATCCCATTCGCTTCCGATCTTGCGGGCCCCGATACTGAGGACATTCTTCACGCGACCACTGACGCTGTCCTGCGATGGACACACCCCGAGGACGCGCCGGACGACGTCCAGATTCACGAGCTGCCCGTCCATGTTCAGAACCTGAACAACCTCCACAGGATGTGCCAGGAGATTACCAACGGGCCGCTTCCTGTTGAGGCGTATGTCCTGTCAACAATGCTCAAGGGCGGAAAGGGCCAACAGGTTGCTACTGTTTGTCTCTCGGGCTCTCCAGAGCTGGTCCACAAGAGCCGAGAGACTATTTTGAATGATACCCCAATTTCTCTTGTATGTTCCTACGCATATGCTCCCTGGCTTTCCTGGTACAATTCGAGGCTCTTGTCTAACCTTTTTACAGCGCTGCACCACCATTGATATTGATGGTCAACTCGTCTGCGACCTCAATGCTGGAGTGCTCAAGAAGCCTGTCACTGATACCCTCGATTACATCTCCACCTTCTGTGGCGTAGATATCTTTCTTCTTGGCCCTAAATTGACCCCTTTTGTTGACGGTATGACTGGTGATGCTGAATTACGCATGGATCAGCGCTGGAGAGTTGCTATCTACGGTGATATACTATCATCCGAGCATGCAAAGGCTCGTGTTCTGATCCACATTGATACTCTGGTACTGTTCTCTGCTTAATCATACTTATGTGCCATTCTAACACTTACCCAGCTCGGCCGAATTGTCGATGGTACCAAACTCGAGGCTTCCCTCCACCAGCTTGTCTGTGGCCGACATCGCAAGAACATCAAGCTCATCGAGTCTTCCACCGGAACTGCCATCTACTTTCCACCCCCGTTCTCGGCAATGTACCGCTACTGTCCTCCTAAAGCGACTCGCCGTGACCCCAACGATATTTTTATCACTGGGGAAACGCCCCAAGCTATTGAATTAGCAAAGCAGAAACTTCACGAGACTGTCCAGCGCATCAGATTGTACGTTAAGGACGTCACAATCCCCGCTGCCAAGATCGACAGTATTCTGCTTGGTCGTCTAGATAAGGTCCGGAAGATTCTCGAGGCCAATGGCACCTTCATCATGTTCCCTCCTCTGGCTACTCAGCGTAACATGGTCCGAGTTCAAGGAAGCGAGGGTCTTCACGTTGAGCGAACTGTACGAGAGATCATGTCCTTGGTAAGTAATATTTAAATTCAAACAGACGCCTCGCTAACTTCAGCACAGGCTGGTCAATTTTACAGTGCGGGATGGTTCATTCAGCCCGCTGATGCCAGGCATTTCCCTTACCCCAACGACATTAAGAGTTTGCTTGTTGATATCTGCGCCAACTCCGATGCCGACCTTTCCTTTGATAAACTGAGTTTCACCATAACTGGCTCTGATGACGCTGTCAAGACAGCTCTTCAAGTCATATCGGAGATGAAGTTCATTTCACAATCTCAGTACCAGATTCGCGTCAAGATTGAGCTTGCCAACGAGCACAAGGAATTTGTCAGTGGCAAAAAGAACGGCAAAATCAACAAGATAATGGGACAGAGCAATGTGCAGATCATTTTCGATGGTTTCAACGAGTACAACTTCAACATCGATGTCATGGCAGCAACTTATGAGTCCATGAAGCAGGGCCTCACTCTTGTGGAGCAAGAAATGCCTGCATCTATTTCGTTCCATGTGCCGGATCAGTACCACAAACGCATCATCGGCATCGGTGGTCAGCACATCCAGCGCATCATGAAGAAGCACTCGGTCTTCGTCAAGTTCTCCAATGCTATGGACAGAGGTCAGAATCGCCGTTGCTACACTGTCAGGTATAAGCTTACTAACTTTGTTACAGGCGGAATGGGTCGAGAAGACGACGATATCAAAGTCGATAATGTCATCTGCCGCACACCAGCTCGAAACGCCCAGAATTTGGACGCTGTCAAGAACGAGATCTTGGAGATGGTCGATCGTGCCGTAAGTGTCACCCTATGCCACCTCTCGCTCAATGCTAATGTAATCCATAGGATTCTGAGTACACATCTCAGATTGTCAGCGTTGACCGCCTCTATCATCGTCAGCTTATTGCTAGACTTCCTGAGATCGATGAACTGGAGCAGAAGTACAACTGCAAGATCAACTTTCCCAGCACTGAGCAAGCCAGTGATGAGGTTACTGTTAACGGTCCACAGTGGCAGGTTCCTCACTGTGTCGATGAGTTTCTCGGCATGGTCCCAGATAAGCATGAGCTTGTTCTCGCCAGAACTCCTGAGCTGGTCAAATTCCTCGAGTCTCCTGAATTTGCTCATGACCTCGTACCCAAACTGAAAAGCCAGCATGAGGTTGAACTCAGCGTCAGACAGAACCCCGACGAGCTCACTGAGAGTGGCGAGCCTACGGTCACTCTTCTTTGGGGGTTCACCCGCAATAACGCCGGTGGCCTCCGTGATGCTATGGACTTTATTCAGTCTCAATTCGCCACTTCCGGAGCTGAGATCAATGTTGTTAAGGGTGCTCTCCCTCGCCCTAAATCCGACTCGTTCGAAGATTCTCTGCAGTATTTCGACTCTAAGCTTCTGCAGCACGCTCCTGCACCTGTCGCCACTGATTCTCCTATCAAGACTGGCTTTGGCGATGAAGTCGCTCGCGAGCGAAGCAGTATTCTCGACCGTCTCCGAAAGCCTGGCAGTATGACGTCAATTTCATCTTTCTTGGACCGCAGAAAGAACAGCTCTCATTCTGGCAACGGTAACTTTTTCAAGGGTTCAAGCAATGTCTCCAAGTCTTCGCTCATTTCGATCGAGTCGACCCGCAGCTTCAATGCCGATCGAAACCCCTGGAACGATAGCGGCGTCAATCTCCCCGACGACGACAATCCTTGGGCTCCTCGAACCTTCGGCACTCACATGGACAACAAATTGTCCATCCCTCAACCTGGCGACATCACACCTCGCCACAGCACCCGCGCGTCTGGCGACAGCGGGCGCCCTTCCACTTCTCATTCTATGAATTCAGGATACCCCGCCCCTATTGGGCCTTTCCGTTAGATTCCCCCGTGTTAGAACCTCTACATGCAAATACCCCGGCTGGATATACCCTGGCGTAAAAATACCCTGGAACGTCGACTTGTGCATCGGTCGGTTTACGTCTTCTGGCCATGTTTGTTTTACCTGATTTGCGTTTGAGTGCTTTCTTGTTTTTTATTTTATGTTACCTATTGCTTTTTCCTGGTCTATATGGAATCGGGGGTTCTCTTTTGATGACTTGACGTCCACTCCTTATACCCAGTCATGTAACGAAAAGCTGAGACCAAAAAAAACGAAGAATACCCCTGGTTGCCGGTTGAGATGAAATTTTTGGGACACGATGGATGTTTGGCGAGAAAGATACCACTGTCAACGAAAACAATATCAAAAGTCTGTCTTCAGACTTATACACGGAGTCAAAGTCGGGTTTGTTTTGGAAGTCGTGTGGTTGCCATGAGCTTTCATGCCAAGGAACCATATGGCACATGAATCACTCGCTGCGCCTAGGAGCCTCCAGGAACCCAGGAGGCTCAGATAAAAGCATTTCCAGCATGTGTTCATGAAAAGTTGAGAGCATTGCTACTGTCTAGGCAAAACGAGATTGAGAAATGGCAATGCAATGATACCTGCGGTTCAGCCGCGATTGCTTGATATACGGATTTTGCTGCATCATATTGGCTGTTATGTGAAGTCCTCAAATGTGTATATCATGGTGTAAACATGGTCCTGTGCACCAGAATAAATACTGTTGCGCATATAAGGTGAACTGTTCAAGTCTGAACACTCAAAGTATGTATGTACTTAGGACCGGGCAGAGTAGTCGTTGTCCGTGGCAGGGATTTGTTCATCTTGGTAAGTACCCTGTCTTGGATCTTTCTTCTTTGACTTCAGGTCACTCAGTTCAGTAAGTTCTCTGAGATTTGTCCAGGAAGAAGCATGCATTGAAAACTCTTGTTGTTTGCCATGCAAGGCTATTCGCGTATGTTTCTCTCGCTGCAATATGCCAATACCACCCCTCACATTTGCCGGTAGGAGGACTTGAAATCTGTGCCCGTAGAATGCCTTGAAACCATTGCTCCGAGTGACAATGAGGGGTTTTGATAAAGTTGAAACGAGAGCAAGTCTTCTGAGCTTGTTAATAAGATGTTCGGTTAATCATCCCAAATAGCTGCCTTTGCCTTCTCAACACCAGCCTGTCGTTTCTTTTCCTCCTCTTTCTCCTGCTCCCTTCTCTTCTTCTCCTGCTCACGAACACTCCTCTGGTACGCCCTTTGCTCCTCCGTCTGCTTTGGTGCCTTGAGGCCTAGTCCAGCAGCGATCATACGACGAGCCACGGCATCTGTCTTCTCAGGCCGTTTATCCGGGTCTGCTCCGGCGCGAGGGTTGGGACTTCCTGAATGCGATTCCCATGGTAGGCCACCGACGGGAGACATGGGCGTTGGGGGAGGCGGTGCAGGTGTCGCAGTGGGAGTTGGCTTGCTTGACTCTGGCTCGGCTTCAGGTTCTGCATCAGCGTCGGAGTCAGAGTCTTCCCATGAGTCTGCGACGACCTTCTTGTTCTTCTTTTTGGTTGCTGGTTTCTTGGATAACATTGTTGAAGGTTCGTCCTTTGTGTCGATTGACAGGTTCTTGAGCGAGCTTGAAACGTCTTGACTTTGTGACATGGCTGAGACAAATGAACTGAATATGTCTCAGCGTGGAGAGAGGAAGCTTGTCAAGAGTTGAGAGCAGAGTATAGAGTTTCTACTGGAGATGATTGTATGGCATGGAATGGATGTAAACCTGTCGAAGTTTGGGCTTCAACTCAAGAACAAAGAAATGGAGTTGGAGAAGGAAACTTGTTAGTCGTTGCCAGGTTTGATTGCGGAGACGTATAGGGTAGTCTCGATTATCGATCAACTTATAAGTCCGCGCTCATCATGACTTACAGTAGAAGTCGTGTTGTGTTGGTATGTTTGAAAATCTACATGCTGCTTAACCTGATGCTAATGAGAACGCTAATTACCCCAAGTATGGTCCTGGCAACATGAAGAAGCGATGGACTCACGATATCTGCCACGTTGTCAGGCTTGCCTTTACTTGCTGGGCTGGAACGACACACGCGGTGTCAAAGCGTCCATTCTATTTGATTGAGGATAGGTACCTAAGCAGATAGCCTAACTTTGTTAAAATGCCCTAATTGAACTCCTTTATGGCTCTGTCTGATGTGAAACTCTAAATATATATAATCAAGCCGGGCAATAAATATTATTACTGTAGTTCCTAGTTCTTAACTTTTTCCCTAGTTTGTCTGTCTATGACAGCATGATCTTATGATGACAGGTACAACAAGTCATGATGACCAAATCGATACTGTATTAATCGACTAGAACAGACAAATATCTAGATATACTGACCAAGTCACAGAAGTTATAGAGGCTTATAGAAGTTGAGAAAGCTTGCATCGGCTTGAGGCACGCGAGCAACGGTAGTTGTATCGCAATCTGATAACGGCCGGCGCAACAGCCGATAGCGGGGTCTCATTGGTCAGTGGCTGACTAAGCTGAACTACCTTCCAATTCCATTAGCGCGGAACGTCTTGGAATCGAAATTTTGGATGATGTAGTAAAGTCCGAGTTCGCGATTATTAAGTCGCCTCCACCAAAACCAACCAAAACCAAAAGCGAGGGTCAAGCCAAGCGGTGATGCGGACAATTGCGGCCTGCTGCTAGTCTAGTTGTATTATCCTTGCCAACTGCTTATGATAGACCGTTTCGTCTCCTTTTTACACTTTATTCTTCTTCTTTAATTCTTCATTGTATCAACTAGTCGAGTCTAGTCTACGGTCTGTCCTAGTACCCTAAGGTAGTCTACAGCTGCCCATCGCGGGAAGCTTCTAACTACTCGTCGTCTCTCAACCCCTGGGATCCCACCTAGCTCTAGCTCCGTGTTCGCTACAACCGAATCGAACCGCATCGGCATCACCAATTATGATTCCCCGTTCACGCCTCTCGGGGCGCCTCATTCTTGAGCGCTCTCTGGTACACGCATCACGAGTATCCTCCGAAGCAACCGCTGCACGATGGGCTTCTGCTCCCGCCTACCGCAACCATCACATCTGCGGTCGTCGGCTTCCCGCCATTCAACCGCGGTTAGTCGCCGCTGCCTTTTCCACATCTGCCCGAGTCACCAAGGAGAAGGACAGCAACGACAAGGGCTTCTTCGAGTCTGCGATAGAGCCATTGACGGAGCCCTTATCTGACGAGGAGGCCAAGGCCAATATCGAGAACAAGCGCAGGGAAGCCGATAGCCCACTGCTAGCTGAGTCGAGGAATCCAGGCCCTGATTCACCTGGTTCTGGAAAGAACGATAACGCTGGTCAATCGAACGATGGAAAGGCGGGAAGTGCTGCTGGAGGTGCTGGATCTGGATCTGGATCGGGAGGTGACAACTCAGGTGGTGATGGAGGTCGTCGCGGTAGAAAGCCTTCTGCTGAGAAGGCTCTTCAGAAGCCTGTTGTTCCTGAAGTCTACCCCCAAGTCCTAGCAATTCCGATTGCTCGACGACCGCTCTTCCCTGGCTTCTACAAGGCCATTACCATCAAGGACCCCGAGGTGGCGAATGCAATCACTGAGTCGATTAAGCGTGGTCAGCCATACGTTGGCGCATTCTTGTTCAAGGACGAGAACGAGGATGAGGATGTGATCAGGAACCCCGAGGACGTCTACGATGTTGGTGTTTTCGCCCAGATCACAAGTGCTTTCCCCATCCACGGCCAAGAAGGTGCTCTGACTGCCATCCTCTACCCCCATCGCCGTATCAAGTTATCCAGCCTACTACCACCTGGTGGCCCAGATACTACTAAGAAGACTGATGCCAAGGCCGAGCCCACACCTGAACCGATTCCCCAGAAGCCCGCAGAGGAAGAGGCTACTCCCGAGAAAAAGGGAGATGTTGTTGCCAGCTTCGAAGAGAGCGCTGTTGAGAAGAAGCCCGATCAGACAGCTGAAAAGTACGAACCAACATCATTCCTCAAGAGATACCCCGTCAGCCTGGTCAACGTCGAGAACCTTGTCGATGAGCCATACGACCCCAAGAGCCCTGTCATTCGTGCCGTCACCAACGAAATTGTCAACGTTTTTAAAGAAGTCGCCACAATGAACAATCTTTTCCGAGACCAGATCTCCACTTTCTCCATGAGTCAATCAACCGGAAATGTTACGTCGGAACCCGCTAAGCTCGCCGACTTCGCCGCTGCCGTGTCCTCGGGCGAGCAAAAGGAGCTGCAAGAGGTATTAGGTTGCCTCAACGTCGAGGAGAGGATGCAGAAGGCTCTTGTGGTGTTGAAGAAGGAGCTCATGAATGCCCAACTACAGTCCAAGATCAGCAAGGATGTCGAGAATAAGATTAGTAAGAGGCAGCGCGAGTACTGGCTGATGGAGCAGATGAAGGGCATTCGCCGTGAGCTCGGCCTGGAATCCGATGGGAAGGACAAGCTTGTCGAGAAGTTCAAGGAGAAGGCCAACAGCCTTGCCATGCCTGAGGCAGTTCGCAAAGTCTTTGATGAAGAGCTTAACAAGCTTGCTCACCTTGAGACAGCCGCTTCCGAGTTCAATGTCACAAGGAACTACCTAGATTGGCTCACCCAAATTCCCTGGGGTAGGAGGAGTGCCGAGAACTTTGGCATCCCTAATGCAGTCAAGATTCTGGACGAGGACCACCACGGTCTCAAGGATGTCAAGGACCGCATTCTGGAGTTCATCGCTGTTGGCAAGCTTCGAGGCACTGTCGAGGGCAAGATCCTCTGCTTCGTCGGACCTCCTGGTGTGGGTAAGACAAGCATTGGAAAGTCGATTGCCCGAGCTCTTAACCGTGAGTACTACCGATTTAGTGTTGGTGGCCTCACAGATGTTGCTGAGATCAAGGGTCACCGAAGAACCTATGTTGGTGCCCTTCCTGGCCGTATGATTCAGGCGTTGAAGAAATGTCAAACTGAGAACCCTCTCATCCTCATCGATGAGATTGACAAAATTGGCCGAGGTTACCAGGGCGATCCCTCTTCTGCTCTGCTGGAATTGCTTGACCCTGAGCAGAACAGCTCTTTCTTGGATCACTACATGGACGTACCTGTTGATCTGTCCAAGGTCTTGTTCGTGTGCACTGCCAACATGACTGATACTATTCCCCGACCCCTGCTCGACCGCATGGAGCTCATCACACTCTCTGGTTACGTTGCCGACGAGAAGATGGCGATTGCTCAACGATATCTAGCTCCCGCTGCCAAGGAGACTGCTGGGCTTCTGAACGCTGATGTCAACTTGACCGAGGAGGCAATTGAGGAGCTCATCAAGTCATACTGCCGTGAGTCTGGTGTGCGAAACCTGAAGAAGCAGATTGAGAAGGTCTACCGAAAGTCTGCCCTCAAGATCGTTCAGGAGCTCGGTGAGGAAGTTTTGCCTGAAGAGGAGGCACTCACTGAGGAGGGTAAGTCTGCTCTTGAGGAGGCTGAGAAGAAGAGCAAGAACGAGGAGGTTACCGAGGGCAAGGAGTCCACCTCCAACGAAACTGGCGCGACCACCGAGAAGCCCCGCAAGCCACTCAACGTCCCTGACTCTGTCCATGTCGTTATCGGCAAGGACAACCTCACTGACTATGTTGGACCTCCTGTCTTCACCTCTGACCGTCTCTACGAGGTCAACCCTCCTGGTGTTTCCATGGGCCTTGCCTGGACACAACTCGGCGGTGCTGCCATGTACATCGAGTCTATCCTCCAGGCTCCTCTCCGACCATCTACACGACCTCACCTTGAGATCACCGGTAACCTCAAGAACGTTATGAAGGAATCTACTACCATCGCCTACTCTTTTGCCAAGTCTTTCATGGTTAAGCAATTCCCCGACAACCACTTCTTCGACAAGGCAAAGATGCATCTGCACGTTCCAGATGGTGCCGTCTCCAAGGACGGTCCTTCAGCTGGTATCACAATGGCTACTTCACTCCTTTCTCTTGCTCTCGATGCCCCCGTTAATCCTACAGTTGCCATGACCGGTGAGATCACACTCACTGGAAAGGTACTACGCATTGGTGGCCTTCGCGAGAAGACTGTGGCTGCTCGGCGAGCTGGCTGCAAGACCATCATCTTCCCCAAGGACAACATGTCTGACTGGCTAGAGCTACCTGAGGTATGTTTCTCTATCTTTTCCGGTACTTAATTTTCTGTTACTAACGAGGACTTCTAGAACATCAAGGAGGGTCTTGAAGGTCATGCTGTGGCCTGGTACCCTGAGGTCTTTGACCTTGTCTTCCCCAACATTGATAAGGAGAAGGCCAACACGTGCAAGATTTGCGAGTGGAAGGCTCAGCAGAAGAAGAACGACTCTGAGTCGGCCGAAGAGGAGGACTAAAATACCGAACGAGGCATTGATGCATTCTAGCCTTGCAACTATCATCTAGCACCAACTGAAAGAAAGTTGATGTTCATGAACATTGCAGGGCATGATTTGATGGCGTTTGGGCATGGGCGAGAAATTTAGATGAACGATATAAAGACTCCTACTCTTGTTATTCTCAAAATGAGGAAATTGTACTATTAGAAGCATGCATTAGTGGTTTGTTTGGGGTGTCACAAGGCAGCGTGTAGTTGACGCCTTCATGTATAATTGTATGTATAGGAAAGCGACGTCAT